CCACCATTATTTCTTTTGGCATTCCAGGTTGCCTTTTAAAATGTCAAAACTATATGTTAAATTTTTGAACTTCCACTATATTTTTAATTTGTCTAAATTTTTAATATAATTAATAAGTTCATAAATTTGATGATTTAAATAATTTAATTTTTTTAATACAGTAGATTTGATGTTTGTTTGTATATTATTTATATGGATAGAGTATTAATATGATGAGTATTGACCTTATTTATATATGTAAGTCATAAATAAACATTATATTAATTGTAAAGAAAAAGAATTAAATTACTAAAATGACCAAATGAAGTATTTATCTATCTTAAAAATTAAAACAAGACAACTAATTTGAGATAAATCTAAAATCATAGAATGACCCTTATTTTGAGATAGAGGTTCACTACAAGAAATAGGTTTTTTATGATGGTATAATCAATTATAAAAACTTTTTTTTAGTCACCAATTAAATTAATATCTAAAGTTTAGTTGTTTACTATTCATCACAAATATTGAGTAATTAAAACTAATAATAACTAATTTTTAATTATCAAAAAAAATAAAATTTTAAAATTTTTTTCAGTGTAGTTTCATATAAGACTACTATGATTATTATAAAAAATATTTATTTATTTAAATTAAAATATATATTATTTAATTCAAATCAAATATAATTATAATAACTTTAAAGACCAATAATAAAATTATTTGGCCTAAACCTAACATTTTGGAACTCAAAAAAAGTGTCTAATATATTTGAGGTATTTTTTAAAATATAAAATACTAATAAACTATGCTTTTTTTTTTTTAACAATTTGTAATTATTTACAGGATTAATTGAGGGAGAGGGGAAATGAATTCTGTGGGGTTCAAACATGCAACCCACTAGAGGTAAACAACCTTAATTTAAGGTCTAATACCACTGAACTGGAACAAACCGTTCAATAAACTATGTTTTTTGTTTCTAAACAATATGAAATAAAGCATTTCCTTAAATATAGTGCAAGTAAGCTCTGCTTTTTATTGTTGGGCACTGTGGAATTTTTTCTTTCCATAACTTTACTAAGCATGAAATATCTATCAATTAAAAAAAATAAAAACTCATCAAATTAAATGTAACCTTTCCATAGGCTGTGAAATCCAATCGAATAATGTAAAATTGCGGACCTTACTCCTTGCTCTGATCCAATGCATTGCTTTCACCTGAATGAGCACTACTACCTTTCCTTCCTCAATAGCTTTGCCATTAGAAAGCCTTTCATTCCTTGCTAGCCAAAAGGACCATGCCACTGCAGCCCACAACATATCCTATGCCTCTCTTCGCTTATTGTCATTTGGTATGCTTGTGTTTTCCAAAAAATTAAGCCTCCCAACATGATCTCGGCAAAGTATTGTAAGTGGCCCCACTATTTCCAGCATTTAACCCAAACATTACGAGCCATCCTGCAGTGAACAAGTATATGATTTGTGGCTTCCAATCGAAATAGTCAATACCATGCCAGCATATATATCAATTTTGTTATTAGAATGATATATATTAGATATTAAAATTTTATAAGTACTGTTTCAGATTTATTATTATAAATATATATTTTCATAATTTAAAAATCAAAATTTAAAATAATGACAAGAAAAATTAATATTTAAAATCATCATACTTTTAAAAATTAAAAACAAGTTTAAATAACAAATTTTATAAAACATCTATAATTTTTTTTCCTTTTTTTTAAACATTAAGATAATATTAAGAAGTATAACAATATTTTAGATTTAATATTATATAATTCGCAATATAAAATACTACTACAAGGGAAGGAATTGTGTCTTTTAAGTATAATAAAAATGTAAAAGACAAATCAAAACATTACTGATAATAGAGAGTAGCAACCGATGAGTACTGAGAATTATAAATCTGAATTTTAAATTGTTAAAAGGGATTAAAAATGTGTATTTTTAATCCCTCAATTTTTTATATATGTATATTTTTTATTCTTCTACTTTGAATTAAATGATTAAAAATATACATATTTAAATAAATTTAATAAAATAACTGATAAAAAAATTAGAAGATGTATTTTTTATAGTCAAATAATTAAAAAATATAAAATATAAAATATAAAAAATCAAAAATATGCAAAATATTAAAACTGATGATCAGAAATGGAATTTACCTTTTTTAAATTTAAATTGATTTATACTTCCAATTCTAACAGAAAATAAGTGAAATTTGATCAAAATTGAATTAAACCTTATACCGTTTGAAATTAATGAAAAGATCGGCATGGATCGATTATACGTATCGGTACGAAACGGAAACAACTTCTTAGCTTCCAATCCTTCTCCACAAGCGTCACAAACAACTAATTTTGCGTCATCTATTATACCTTTTTTAGCAAGATTAAACCTCGTCGGCATCCTATCTTGCACCACAATCTATATTGTAATTTTATATTTTTCAAGTTAAATTGTAGATTATTTGTGACGAAAAAAGTTTATTACTTTTTGTAATTTTCTTTTATAGTAAATTGTACATGCCTTTACACATTATAATTATTATGGATGAAAAAATTTAATCACAAGTAAGATTTAGTATTAGTAACAAAAATTAATCATTTGTGATAAATATTTTATCAATTATTAATAATTATTTGACTGTAATGATTTTGATTATAATAAATTTATGTTATTTATTGTGATGAATCTTTTGTGATTTGAATGTAAATTGTGTTAAAATTGTATATTCTAATATTGAAAATTAATATTATAGATTAGTGTCTTAAATTAGTTACAAATGTAAAGAATATAAGTGATGAATTGGAAATCAATTACCATTTTCAGTCATAAAAAATTTATTTTCTTGTAGTGATAGTAGATTTTTATTTAGTGGTTAGTTTTTACTTCTTTTGTTATAGAATAATAGACATTTTTTTATTTAAAATTTATTTTAAAATAATAATTTTTTTTATATTTTTTTTTAAAATATTTTTCCTATTTTATCATGTTTATTATTTCTTTATTTTAATTATCTATCTTCTTATAAAATGTCTTTCTTTTTATTTTTTTAAGAATAAAATAGATAAAAATAAAAATTATTTTT